CTTTCAGCCCTGCTGAGGCAATCCTTCTTTTCCTTCCTTACAAATAATTGGAGTGCTCTCTAGTACAGTAAGATCTCACAAGGCATCCAAATCACACCCTTCCAGGAAGAAGGTTCTCAGTCTCTTTACTTCTCTGAATTGTCATCCAATTGCGGTCAATTATGGTGAGGATCTGTTCATCCAGCAGTAGTAGTTCAGAAGTCTCCAACAGCAAGCCTCTGAAAGGACCTTTGTGCATAGATCTCAGCTCTCTGCACAGTCAGTTCTAATTCCCATGCACATGATGTGCTTTGTAGCCTCATAACAGCACAGCATGTATACAAGACCTAGTGTCTTTGCTCTCAGCAGCCCTGCATACTGGCTCCAAGCTCCCAGCAGTTTAGTCCAATTTAGTTTAGATCCATAAAGGCAGCCCCTGGGGCACAGGCAGACAGCAGCAAATAAGAGTATAGATCCCAGTAATTACTGTAGGTGGGTGCAGCACAGGTCCCTGCACTCTCTGTCCTTCCACCACACGGATTTATCTCTCCAGGAGCACCCACCTCTGTCCTTTTCATGCCAGACTGTGTCCCTTCACATGTAGCATTGTACCCAGTTTGATGGCAGAAGCAGTCTCTGATCAGCACCCCTCTCCTTGCTCTGTTGCAACAGCCAGTCACTGTGTCAGAGTCAGGATCAGAGACCAGTAGCTATATCAGCGGAAAAGCTCCCACCAAAGAGCAGGACTGTATACAAGCATGTCACCCTGTCAGATGATGCAGGCTCACCTGAGGTGCGGGGTCTAAGCACTAACCGGTATTCACCAGAGCTCCTGATGGTGGAGATGGCTTTTGCTGCGTGTTAGGACCAGGTCGTGTTCCTCAGATGGCCCCACCAGGAGGTGAGCAAACCAGGGTCCAGTAGATAGATAGGTAGAAGGTAGGGATCAAACAGAAGCATAGTCAGTAAACAAGCTGAAGGTCTGTAACAAGTGGTTGTAGGTTGGGATTGGGCAGAAGCGTGGTCAAGGAACAAGCCAAAGGTCAGTAATGAATGGTAGCAAAAGTACGGATGGCAGCAGGAGGGACAAGAGCAAGATATTGGCTAGAGAAGGCACAATAATCTGGCAAACAGGAAGTGAAAAGACATGGCTTAAATCAGGAAGTTCATGGATTGTTCAGGCAGAGTGCTGTCCAGCTTTCCTGGTAGCTCAGTGAGAAGAGTTGCTTCCAGACACAGCAGAGGTCCCTGGTTCAAGTCCAGGGTCTGGCAGTACTCCCCTCCTCCCAGGATTTCCTCTGGATGTCTTAGAGCCCCGAGAAGTTTGTGATTAAACCTCTGATGGAATTCTCTTGTTAATCTAGGGGCATGAACATTTTCCTCAGGCTCCCAAGAATTTTCTGGCCCATTTCCTTCCTATTAAACCAGATATTGTAATTTGTTCCTAAACATCCTAGAATCAAGAATTTTCTCCACCACAAATTTTTCTTCGCCCTGTACCTCAACAGGTGGAGGAGGTGGGAGAATTCTTCCAGAAAAAGGATTTTCATGAAATGGTTTGAGTAACGATATGTGAAAAACAGGGTGAATCTTCATTCGGTCAGGAAGTTTTAAGTGAAAGGTGACTAGGTTCAATCAGAATTGATGCACACAGAAGGTTTTTTACCTGCATGCATAGAATGCATGCAGGTGAAACACATTGAGCCTTTACAACCACTTTAAGTAAAAAGGACTTTGAGAAGTGGAGCTATGTTTGGAATTATTATATGCAAACTCTGCCGTAGGAAGATATTCTACCCAATCCTCCTGAAGATAACTGACAAAACATTGAAAATACTGCTCCAGAGTTTGGTTGGTCCTCTCGGTCTGACTATTAGACTGGAGATAAAAAGCAGAGGACAGAAAAATTGTAACACCTAATGCTGAGCAGAAGCCTTTCCAGAATTTTGAAGTAAACTGCACTCTGCCTGACACTACATCGTCAGGGATTCCATGTAGCTTAAAGACTTCACGTACCATCAGTTCCACAGTTTGTTCAGCAGTGGGTACCCCTCTAACAGGAATAAAATGAGCCATCTTTGTGAGATGGTCGACAACTACCAAGGTAGTGGTCATCCCTGTTGAGGGAGATAAATCAACCACAAAGTCCACAGAAATTGACCCCCAGGGTCTTGATGGAACAGGGAGTGGCTGAAGCAACCCTAAAGGAGAAGCTTGGGGAGTCTTACTGTGTGCACATGTCAGGTGTGAGGTTACATTGCGTTTGACATCTTTCTTGTAACCAGGCCACCAAAAAGAACACGATAAAAGTTCTTCTGTCTTTAGAAACCCCAAAATGTCCAGCAAGTTTGGAATCATGAACGGACCTGAGGGCTTCAACCCGTGCAGATTAAACTACATAGAGATGATGCCCCTGAGTCCAAAAACCATTCTTATAAGCCAGGTTAATGTCCTTAGGTGGATGAATGAGCAGTGGGTCATTCCCATACCCCTCTTTGATAATATTCAAGAATGCCTTCGAACTTATGGCCCCTAGGAAGTTCTTTTGAGGCAGAATCGAGCATTCATCACCGCCCACCGAATAGGATGTATCCCGTTCAGGAACACTCGCCCAATGATGGGTAGTCATGGGGGCGGGGTCACCGGAGATGTTACCGGGTGACCCTATCCCATGTTCACCTGTCATTTGGCTTGTGTTCTTAGATGGGATACATCATATTCGGTGGTCGGCGATGTTTTTTTCATGTGGGTTGGCGTTTGTCTTGATTGACATTGGATCTACTTCGAGGGTCATATATTTTTGTTTCTTGTTTTTTTTTTAATAAAAGACTTGTCAAAAACTGCCTCTACTGATTTTTTACTTTGCACATTTGTTTGGTGAATAAGTAGGGGTACCATGTACCACATACTCATTCACATAGGGCAGGGGCCATGATCTGGGTGCCCCCATATTAATGGGGGCTTCCAAATTACATTAAGATCCCACCTCAACCACCTCCCAGGGTTGTGGGTAAGGGGCCCTTGTTCCTGCACCCACAGACCTCCACAACCACTGCCCAGGGTTGTGGGAAAGAGGCCCTTACCCACCCCCCAAGCCCCTACACAATAGAAAGTCTTTTATACACATGATTATGTAGGTATCACATTAATATTACAATTGTACTTTTATGGTAACAAAGGGCTTTATATAAGCAGGCTAATTTCTAATCAAGATTTGAAAGAACGCAAACGTAATAAAAATGTTATTAGTGCCACGTGCACAATGAGTGTAGTGTGCAAATACATATTCAAATCATACAAAATAAAATACAATTTTATACAGAATTTATCATTTCCTTTACAAGGGCATATAGCCTAGTATGGTTCAGGAAGGGGTGCTTACTATTTATTTTTTTCATGTTACAGTAATAAAAAGTTAAAAATTATTTTTGATATTGTATATAACTATTTTTCAATTATAGCATAAAAATATTTTTATGGTCTCAGGGCTCCTATGTATTTGAGTAGTATAAAAGTTAAAGTGACACTATATCAATATGTTTATTCTCCAAAAATAATCCATACACATCCACTACTTAATGCCCCTGTAACATGTTTTTCCAGAAAATCAATTTCTTACTGTGTTTTTATTCCTCCTTTTAACATCCTCGGTGAGCCTCTGAACCAGGGGCGGACTGACCATTTGGAAACTCGGGCACTGCCCGAGGGCCCGGGGTCAGTAGGGGGCCCCATGAGATGCCCCTGGTACATTTTTCATAGGCTTTTTTGAGTTTGGGCAAGGACACCGGGGCCCCATGATCCCCTATTGCCCGGGGGACCCATGAGTTGTCAGTCCGCCCCTGCTCTGAACCTTTCCTTTTCCCCTTCACTTCTGTTTTCTGAGTAGTGCACATTTGTTGTGGTCATGTGCACTGCTCACTGTACACTGTATATACCATATTTTATCGTCCTTAGTTCATCTCGGGAACAAGCAAGAGAGGCTATTCTCCTATATACATTGGGATCATGAAGATACAAAGTAGCCGCCCTCTAAAGTCAGATCACAGCAGCAAAAAAAAAAAACCCAAAACGAATTTTAGATTTGAAGGAGACTGATATGAATAGAAGGTACACTTTGAGTTAAGAATACATACATAAATAGATTTTTTTTAAACTATAGTTTAGTGACATTTAGTGAAGTGAGTCTATCATTAAATTAACCAGAAATAATAGGACACATATGTGCATTACTAAATTAAATTCTTATTATTAACAAAAATGTATTTCTCTTTTGCCATGAATAAAAAAAAAACACTGATTCCAAGCTTTCAGTCTGGGAAGCATTGTGGGTTTGTTATGTCACCAAAGACTATAGAGAATCTATTGTTTTCAATAAAACAGGCACTACAGTAATTTTACTAATATACTATATATGAGCAATTTTCTCACCAAATGTTCCATTTGCAATCAGAAACAGCATAGGTGTGGAATTTCAGTTTGTTATTATGCAAAATAAATATTAAAGTAGATGTAAACCTTAACTGAGCAACATTTAGCTTTCTAAAGCACAGTGGGTTTTATTTACTAAAGCTGGAGAGTGCAAAATCAGGCTGAATTCTGCAAAAAAAACAATCAGCTTCTGACCTCAGCTTATTTAACCGCCTCCCACCCGCCATATAGTACAATGACGGGCACAATGCGGTTCTCTCATTCTGGGAGGACGTCATATGATGTCATATAATGTCCTCCCATTCTAACCGCGCAGAACACTGATAATCAGTGTGCCCTGATGATCTGTGTAGCCCCAGCATTGTCACCTGTCCAGGGGCGGACTGACCATTTGGAAACTCGGGCACTGCCCGAGGGCCCGGGGTCAGTAGGTGGCCCCATGAGATGCCCCTGGTACATTTTTCATAGGCTTTTTTGAGTTTGGGCAAGGACACAAGGACCCCATGATCCCCTATTGCCCGGGGGCCCCATGAGTTGTCAGTCCACCCCTGCACCTGTCAGTGTCCATCAGTGCCAGCTGTCAGTGCTCATCCATGCAACCTGCCAGTGCCCATCAGTGCCACATCAATGCCACATATCAGTGCCCATCTGAGCTGCCTTTCAGTGTCACCCATCAGTGCCAGTCAGTGCCACCTATCAATGCCAGTCAGTGCCACCTATCAGTGCTGCCAATCAGTGCCACCTATCAGTGCCAGTCAGTGCCACCTATCAGTGCCTGTCAGTGCTGCCTATCCATGCTGCCTAACAGTGCCAGTCAGTGACGCCTATCAGTGCCAGTCAGTGCTGCCTATCAGTGCCACCTATCAATGCCATATATGAGTGCTGCCTTTCAGTGCCCATCAGTGATGCCTGCCAATGCCCATCAGTGCCACCTACCAGTGCCTCCTCATCAGTGCCCATCAGTGCCACCTATCAGTGTCCACCAGTGCAGCCTATCAGTGCCCATCACTACAGCCTCATTAGCGCACATCAGTGAAGGAGAAAAATCACTTATTTACAAAATTTTATAACAAAAACTAAGGAAACCTTTTTTTTTTCAATATTTTCAGTGGTTTTTGGTTTGTTTAAGAAAAAATAAAAAACCCAGAGGTGATTATATACCACCAAAATAAAGCTCTATCTGTAAAAAAAAAACGATAAAAATTTCATATGGGTACAGTGTTGCATGACCGCGCAATTGTCATTCAAAGTGTGACAGCGCTGAAAGCTGGAAATTGGCCTGGGCAAGAAGGAGGTATAAGTGCCCTGTAGGCAAGCGGTTAATTAAGCTTTGGCAATAAAACCTGGAATCTAATTGGTTTCTATGCTTCTGTGAAGTGTGTTGCAATGGCCACTTTAGGTCCTCCCCAGAGGCAGGAGATCAACAGTAAGATAGGGACAGAGTGTTTCATTGTGTAACAGGAAGTGTGTAAACATAGACCTTCAAGACAGGGTCACCAGTGGGGAAGAGCTGGGTTCAGATTCAAATTTGGTCTGAACACAGTTCATCCAAACCCATGGTAAGCTGATACATGATCGCATTCCTGCTGGTCCAATGAGATACAGGCGGGAGATTCAATGGTATTGCCCTAATATGGCCATGTGGTTCATGACAGGGTTTTTTTATTTTTTTTATATGCAGCACTGTGCTACTTTAAATGGCAGTTGCTCGGTCATGCAACAGTGTACCCAAATGAAATTTGTATTCCTTTTCAACAAATAGAGCTTTATTTTGGTGGCATTTAATCACCACTGGGTTTCTTTATTTTTTGCAATATAAACAAAAAAATACCTAACACTTTTTTTTCTTAGTTTCTGTTTTCTTAGTTCACTGTTTTTCTTAGTTTCTGTTATAACATTTTGCAAACAAATAATATTTCTTCATTAAATTAGGGCAAAATGTAATCTGGTAAACATAAACTAAATCTATGTATTTTATTTAGTTTGTGTGAAAGTTATAGAATCTACAAACTATCATATATATTTGAAAATGTATCAATTCTGATGTACTGACTGCCTATCTAATTTTTTGAGGCCCTAAAATGGTGGAACACTGCACATATTTCCCAAATAGTTTTTGAACTTGTCATTTTTTGTCACAATTCTTTAGAAAATGAAACTTTGTTTTTTTTTCTATTTCTTTTTTTTTTTTGACTGGTGACATTATGTTAACCACTTCAATACTAGGCACTTTTACCCCTTTCTGCCCAGTCCAATTTTCATCTTTTAGCACTGTCGCTTGAATGAAAATTATGGGATCATGAAACACTGTACTTCAACTAAATTTTTTATAATTTTGTTCACAAAAATAAAACTTTTTTTGGTGGAATTTAATCACCACTGTTTTTTGCTAAATACATGAAAAAAGACCAACATTTTTGAAAAAAAATTGGTTTTCTTTGTTTTTTTGCAAATAAATAATTGTTCTTCATAAATTTAGGCCAAAACTCATTCTGCAACAATTCTTTGGTGGAAATAACTCAAATCAGAAAGTTATACAGTCCACAATCTGGTTGTGGACCAGATGGTATACATCTGAAAAATGATCAATCCTGATGTAATGACAGCGCATCTCATTTCTTGAGCCCCAAAATGTCAGGGACAATACAGATTTCCCCAAATGAACCCTTTTTGGAAAGTAGACAGTCCAAAGTATTTAGTAAGAGGCATGACAAGTTTTTTGAAGCTGTACATTTTTTTGTCATAATTTTTTGGAAAATGAAGAAATTAAAAAATAGTCACAATTATTTTTTTACACACTGTCACCAGTGCAAACAGTGTCATCATATAACTGGTGTGGCAGTGATCAGGGACACTGACTAGTGACAGTATGAAACATTTTTTTTTCAAATTTTTAATTTTTTTTTTAGTACTTTTTTCTTTTTTACAATTTTTTAAAACACCAGAGCAATATAATGTTATCATAGTAACATTGTACTACTTTGGGGAAGTGATCAGGATTTTTGTTTATATATTATGATTGCTTATAGCAGTACTTTTCACTGCTATAAGCAAGCATGTTTACTGAACGAAATTGATTTCATTCAGTATGTATTGTGATTAGCTTTGATTGCCCCACAGCTAATCACATGGAACAGATGGGCTGTGATTTGCCCTGCTATACCATGTGATCGCTATGACCAATCACAGCTAGCAACACAATTGTACACAATGAATGGCATGAATCAAAGCCATTCATTGTTTACAATTGCCATGTGATCTGCTGTGATTGGTCGCAGCGATCACATGATACCGGCAGGGCCCAGTACAGTGATCTGGCATCAGCTGTGTTTGGTGGGCATAGCCAGTGTCAGATCACACCCACAGCATGACCACACGCGTCATATGATGTCCATCCGGAACAGCGAAAGTCTGCCCAGCCATCATTTTGCAATAGGCTGGGAGAGCATACATTTTATTAAATATTTAACGTTTTTAATTTTTACAATTTTTTGTACACACTGTCATCAGAGTAGTTCATTGTCACCATAGTGAGATAGTTAAATTATTTTTTTACACTGTGATTGCTTGTTGTGTTGATCACTGTAACAGCAATCATTTGAACTGTCATGAATTGCTTCCATCCATGAGTTATTGTTTACTATTGTGATGCTGTGATTGGCCACACCTATCACATGGTACAGGGTGCTGTGATTGGTCCAGGTACCATTTGATCACTTAGTAAACAAGGATGTTATGAGTGGATTCCATTCATGACTATTGTTTACTAGATGGCATGTGATCAGACACCGATCACATGGTATCTTGGCCGGTCACAGTGGCCCGATACCAAGCACTGCAAACCACTGTGTCCGGTGGGTGCTCTGAGCATGAGTTGGGCAACGTACTGGCACATCACAGTGTCTGCTCAAGCTGTTAGCCATCAGTAAAAGTACTGTTGGCCTGTAGGCAAGTAGTAAAATTAGGTCAATGATGTAATGAGCATCGCTGTCACTTTGTATACATGCAGCTGTGGGGTGAGTAATCTCTCACTGAGAGTTCATTGGTCCATTAATATAGCTGGTCACCAGGCATTTTTTTTAATGAAAGCTAGAGGTTTAAAAATATTGAGAATTACATTTGAATTTACATTGACATGTTAAAGCCTATTTGAGATTTTAATGATTGGGTTTGTATATATATTTAAAAAAAATATATATATATGAATAACATTGATTATCTTATTACAATGGCATCTGAAAGTGGATGGGATACATTAGGCAGCAAGTAAACATGTCACTGAAAGGGTACATTCACCTTTTGTAACATGTTACATAGCGTTATTTAGGCTATGTATGTTATGTGTCTTTATAGAGCTGCACTTATTATTTTATATGGTTTTTGAGTTTGTCTCCAAACTTTTGGTGCTGCCAGCTACTACTATCTTACCCAAGCTCAGTGTTTTTTTTCTTTCTTTATGAGGTAACATGTTGCATGTTACACCCATATTCAGGGTGTAACATGTTAGAATTGAACTGGCCTCCACACCCACCCGATCCATCATTGTGACATCTACCAGGAGATCATCTCTTCCCGCTAGCTGTCACAATCTGAAGATAAATGCGGTTATGCAGAGCTCCACCCTTCTGTGAATTGGAAAACTACAAGTCCCCATAGGTTTTGCGGCTGTCAGTTTGTAGTTCTTAATGAACTACCATGGTGCTGTCAAGTGCTGTGGTAGTTCATTGTGCCTTCCTGTCAGTGTGTATCTGCCTGCCCGTACAAGGTAGGAACAGAGAGATACACTGACAAGTCTGCAGGAGCCCTGCATGACACCTGTGAACTGCTGGTCACAGGTGCAATGCTTTACAGGTTCCAAGTAAATGAAATCATAAATGCACATTTTTTTTGCCTGCAAAAAGATGTGCATTTATTTATTTTTTCTTAAAAGATGAACTTATCCTTGAAGTTGATGTATTGAAAGCATTAAAAATTGGCATCTCGGTTTGTTGCATACATGAGCATCATGACTGGACCAAGGAGCAATGGAAGACGGTTGTCTGGAAACGGTATTCCCTGATGACAGGGGCCTCTTTCATCAGATAATTCACCCTGCCACACAGCAAAAATGGTTTAAGAATTGTTTGAGTAACACAACCATGAGTTTGAGGTTTTGACATGACCTCTCCAGATCTTAATCCAATCAATCATCTGTGGGATGTGCTGGAAAAACAATTCCCCACCTTGCAACTTACAGGACTTAAAGGATCTACTACTTTGGCTTGGTGTCAGATGCCACAGCATAACTTCAGAGGTCTAGTGACATCCATGCCTTGATGGGTCAGAGCTATTTTGGCAGCAAAAGGTGTACCTACTCAATGTTAGGTTGGTGATCATAACGTTATGGCTGAAAGGTGTATACTGTAAATGTACTGTGCATGTACAAGACATTTTACTGTAATTCACTGTTACCGAACAAATACTGACCACCTTGTGGAGTGAACATGGGTTACTTTTTCTATTGCTTTCCACATAATGTAAAATAAGTTTAAAAACAAAATATAGACAATTCATAATGGCCAATGCCAATGGCCAATCAGGAAAATAGATCTTACAGCCAGAAAAGATACCAAATGCTACTAGATAACCTATCCTGTTGCTCATTGACTCAGAAATTAAATATATACATTGAATGGGTTGACCAATAAATGATGGAATTCACTTATTTCTAATTAGTTGTGGGTCTGTGTTCTATTTTTTTTAATTGGGTTAGCAGAAATTCTCTTACATGAAAGCTCAGTGGAAGTAGGCCAGGTAAATGTCTATCTATATATATTTTCTCCTGACTGATTTATGCCCAAACTACCTGCTGGGAAAATGAAAAGTAAAATGATCAGCACAAATGTGAAAGTGTGCTCCATCTAGTAACACCTTAATTCTAGGAATTTCTTTTAAAGTATAATGATCATTTTAAAACCTTAAAACATAATGTAATTGTAGTGGGTAAGTACTTTCAAGCAGAGGTACCAAGGAAAGAATGCAATTCAATTTTTCAGC